TTTGCTATTTCCCGTGTGACTAGGCCAATAATATCCTGGAACACTATTCGGAGTGTAAGTGCCTTGTCCTGTTTATCTTTCTTTATCCTTATCTCTCTGTCTGGAATATGTCTGGTACAGAGAAGGTGATCAATACAGGTTTGTTGCATGTATGGATGAATAATTCAACACAAGGGTGTAAGAATCCTCTTATTCTCTCTCTGCCCCACCTCTCTCTTGACTGCTATTAGTTTTTGCCGGCTTTATTTATGGTTATTTTTAAAACATTGGACCTCAGGTACAGAGTTGGATTAAGGATTAGTCATAACCCTCAGGTTTTGACATGCTCTCATCATTGGTCTGTGCATGGCCTGCTTTAAGGTATATATGGATGGGTGAAGTGGCAGGCACTTACAGGGAGGAAAGGAACTGATAGCAGCCATCATTGGAGACTGTCTACTACTTGTAAGTTGTATCTTTCAGTTTTTAACTTTCACTTCTTTAAGGTACCTTAAGTAAGCCAAAACTCTTAATTTTAATACAGTAAAATTATCCATCTTAAACTACTCCCGAAGCCAACTCTTCAGACAAAGATTAGACTGGACTATGGGACGTAAAGTGATACTCGTGAAGAGTGTGCTTCTTAGCTCAAGTAGATACATGAGACTAAATGGGCAGCTCCTGTCCGGAGGCGACATGAGAAGGCATAGGAGGTCAGAAGCTGGTTGAATGGACGCAGGAAATCCACAGTGGAAAAGAGGAGTGTGCTGTCACAGTATAGGGAGAACAACTAGGATCACATAGCAATGTGTGTATAAATTTTTGTATGAGAAACTGACTTGAATTGTAAACTTTCACTTAAAACACAATAAATTTTTTTTTTGGAAAAAAGGTCTTTTGCAGCTAATTTGTCCAATGCAATACATTGTTTGATTTCTTGAATGATGCGATAGCTGATACTTACAGAGTCATAAGCCCTTTTCTTTTGTGTATTCACACCATGCATTAAGGTACTGGACGATGTGGCTACAGAAAAACTAATTGTGGCCTGTTCCAGTGATAGTCATTGTGGTCTCTTCCAATTGTAATCATAGGAAGGAAAGGGCTGCCCGATGGTCTGCCTGTCTAAGAAGGCCTTTGGATTCTTTTCTCCTCTGATTCACAAGTTCTATTTTGAAAACTATTATCAGTTGTTGTATTTTTCAGAAGCAACGTATGTTGTCTTCTCTCCAAACCCTGCTTCTCAGTCCCAAGGTCCTCCTTTCCAAGATTGGTCATAACTTTGGCCTCTCTGAGAAGGTTCGTCAACCTCAAGTCTAACCATCTGGTAACAGTTCCACGTAGGCTTAAATCTCCATGAAAATCTAGGAAAAAGGATTTGGAAGGCTGGATAGTTTCTGACATTTTAAAGAGGCATTCTTCTGATTCTTTTCACTTCTAGATCCATTATCTAATTTCCTTCAGGGTACTACTGAATTCTTTTGAATTCTTCACCTAAGCTGATTTGCAGTAAATATTATATTTGAGATATAAGGTAAAATCACTGAAACTTCAAGAAGAAAATAAATGAAAGAAAAGAGAAGAATATTTTAATAAAAATATTTGAAGAGAAAATTCTCACACTGACCATTTAAAAGTAATTTTAAAAAACCAAACTTTCTAATTATTAATTTTTTATTAATTTCATTATTAAATTTTAGAATGAATTTTTATTTCTTTTTATTTTTCAAAGAAAAAGTATGTATTATACTTTTGCTTGTTAATGTTTAACTTAAGCTTATGGAATTTTTATTAGAACTTATTTTACATGGCAAAAGAAACTATCACCTAAACTTTGCTAATACAGTTAATCTAGAAAAACCATAATCTTTGGCTTTACTGGTTTGATAAGTTATTTCTATAAATTTTCTGCTGTCAAGGTTTTTTCTGATGACACATGTACAAATAAACAGAAAGTCTGACTTATTTTTATTATCTGGTCAAAGTTCTCTACTAGTAATTCACCTTTAACTTATATATCTGTTACATCCGTCAATCTTCCAGGTGTCAATGCTGACACTAACTTGGATTATTGAAATGCTTCTTTTGCCTCTAAATTTGTTATTTTAAAAATATATGCATTCAGATCATTGATTTTCCACACTCAAAACTGATATTCAAGCAATTAGTCTTTGATCACACAATTAGTAGTTACTAAGTTCCAGAGCCTGTGTTCTTTCTTACCCAGCACGCTCAATGATATAAGCAGTTTTATTTGGAGTAGCAGGATTAAGCTATCAGCAGAAATAATAAGATGATTCCAAATGAAACAGACCTTGGAACCATAGTCCTTAGCCTTGTGAAGGCTACCATTTAAGTCTGTTGTTTTTAGTTGCCCTTGAGTCGGTTCTGACTCGTGGTGACCCCACGTGTGCAGAGTAGAACTGCTCCATAGGGTTTTCAAGGCTGTGACCTTTTGGATGATCTCCAGGCCTGCCTTTCAGGGCATCTTTGGGTGGGTTTAAACTGCCAATCTTTGGTCTCATAGTTGAGCACTTAACCATTTGCACCACCCAGGGACCCCATTTAAGACTAATTATAGGAAATACTGTATGTTACTGATACAAATGATGGCTAATAAACCAAAGTTGTAGCTGCTAGGTAGGGAAAGACAGTACAGGGTAGCGGTTGTACGTGTCATCTTTAGAGCCCTGGGCTCATGACCTGGTTTTACCATTTACCAGCTCTGTGATCCTTGGGAATTACACTTGCTTAACCTCTCTTACCTGTTTCCTCATCTGTAAGATAGAGGTGAGAATAATAATCTTTTAGGATGTAAATGTGAAATTCACGGTACCCAGTGCATAATAGGTACTCTGTAAATGCTATGGCTGCTAACCAGAAAGTCAGCAGTTCAAATCCACCAGTCGCTCCTTGGAAACCCTATGGGCCAGTTCTACTCTGTCTTGTAGGTTTGCTATGAGCTGGAATCTACTCGACGGCAATGGGTTTGATTTGGTATAAATGCTCACTTTAATTATTATTATTATTTTAAAATTGAGAATCAACATAAAAACACAAAAAACACCATCTCCATTCCTCGTGTCTACACTATGGAGATAGAGAAAAATGCAGGTCATAACTTTCTTCATTCTTAGAAGAGATTTGTTTCCAACCAGATATAAATCTTTTAAACTTTGAGTTTTAATTCTCTCATCAAATAATTAAACTGGTAAAATGTCCTCTAGGAAAAAAATGTGAAAAATGAAGATAATTGAAGTGAAAAATACTAATAAATGTTTAGGCGTCCTAGCTTAGTTGCTAATTATGCCTTTTATCATGATATGAGCCCTGGTGGCACAGTAGTAAAAGCGATTGACTGCTAACTGAAAGATCAGCGGTTCAAAACCACCAGTGGCTCCGTGGGAGAAAGATGTGGCCGTTGTTTCCGTAGAGATTTACAGCCTTGGAAACTCGCTAGGGTTGCTACGAGTCAGAATCGACTCTCGATGGCAGTGGGTTTGGTCTGTCTTTTTTATTATGATAACAGAAGTTTATAGAAAGAACCCAAAATTTGTTTGAAAACTTGTTGATTTAATTATTCCTTTAGGAAATGTTTATGGAGTTTCTACATAGTGTGCTGGACTGAAGTCATATAGTGAAGAGTAAGACAAATGTGGTCTCTGACCTCATGAACTTAACATGGATGGGGCTGCATACCCCAGCTGCTGCCTCTGAGCTGTATAAATATCTTTATAGAATGTCAAGCTAAAGTTTTCATAGCTTATATCACAACATATGAAAGAACCAGTGACAACAAACTAGATGGAAACATTTAGTCACACACTTGGTCACACACCAGGATTGAATTTATCTCTGAACGTTTAAGAATTAGCTTCTAAGATATTGCTGGGGGCAGAGCTATCCCTTTGTTACAGCGCATTTCTGGGGAGGATGTGGGTATAAGTTTGCTTCTTTGTCCCCCTCCTATGCAGTGGTTATGCTCTAAGATAATTTAGTGTAGGAGCAGAGTAGTTCAGTAAAGTCCACTACTGGGTAAACACCATCTTTTGACCTAATTTAAAATGTACTTAATATATAAGAAAAGCCCACGTTCAACTTTTTAGCTTGTAATGGCCGTAGAATTATTCATTGCAAGAAAAGAATAAAAATAATCTTCCTACCAACAAAGAGTAATTTAGTAAGAAGTTAGAGATTATAATACCAAACAGATGATCACCCCAGTAAAACTGGATTCCCATTTATATACTGAATTAACTCCCAACTTTTCGCTCTGATATTTGCATCCCAGCCACATCTCCCCCATTTGCCCTTATTAGTTGTCTTTTAATGTTTACGCTGTTGTCAGGCTGGACCATATGACCTCTGTGTCTTTGCTCATACTGGGTCTTCCATGTGGAATGCTTTTCCTGTTTGCCACTCACTGCCATGTATCAAAGCCCTGTCCATCCTCACAGGCCAGCTTGAATTCCCTCTCTTCCACCCTGCCTTTCCTGAGCTCCATGGAATATCTATGGCCCTTGAGCCTCAGCAATCTATACTCTCCTAGGGCACTTCCCTCACCACACTTACCTTTTGGTTATTTGTGTACTTAATACATAATGCCTCTACTGAGTTGGCGGGCAGGATCATCTTTGTACCCTAATGCCTGACACAGACTTGCCCAGAGCAGGATTAAAGAGTAAAAAAGAATTTGTCAAAGTGAAAACGTCTTTGCATCCCAAGTACAATAGGCTTGTCTTAAAAGTGTCAAATAGGATAGGAAAAACATAGCTGTAAAGATGGAAGATAAATATAATCTATATCCTAGAAACATGATAAGCAGGAGTATAAACAGGCAGTGGGTTTCAAATTAAATGAAAAATAGAAAGCCTTACAACCGTCTTCATAACATATTATGATGAATTTCAATGGCTGGCATCTCTAAGCTGTATAAAAGTCTTTGTTTTGGTTACCTGTTTTACTAAATTGATAAGAAAAAAATTACTTGCAAATAAAAAGAAAACCTTTTTTTCCTCCAGGGCCAGTTCTGTGACTATTGCAATTCTGAAGACCCCAGGAGAGCACATCCAGTCACCAATGCAATTGATGGAACCGAACGGTGGTGGCAAAGTCCTCCTCTCTCCTCAGGCACACAGTACAACAAAGTCAATGTTACCTTGGATCTAGGGCAGGTGAGTTACGCTTTCAGTTGGAATGGGAAAAATTAGTTTGGATTGTTGCTTTTGTGATGATTTCTGATATAACCATAATTATTAAAAAAAATTTAGTTTTAATTCACTAATCATTGTTAAAACTGCTACATTAATATTTGTACGTGTCACAATGTAGGTACCTAGACTTGTCTGTGAAATGAGCTAAAAGATAGTTGTAAATACTTTAATTGGCAAAGATATTTTTAGAGCATTCTATTTCCTGGATATCCTGATTCTGTGAACACTGACTACCATAGTTTTTGGCCTGTTTGCCCAGCTGCTCCATGGAAGGACCTGACTTCAGGCTTATCCTTCTGTGGTCAACAAAGATGGCCACCCGGGGTGCCAACCCTGTGGTGTCTACACCGTATATAATCCCCTCCCCCTGGAGTGTGGCCAGGACTGTGAGTATGATTGATTTCACTCCCAGGATTAGGAGGCATTACATGATGAAGAGATTTTTCAGATGTATTTAAGGTCCCAAGTTAGTCAATCAAAAGGGAGATTGTGCTGGGTGGACCTGACTCAGTTAGGGGAGCTCTTAAAGACTCTACCTGAAGGAAGAGATTTGAAGCATGAGAAATTATTCTGCCGGCCTTGAAGGGGAAAACTGACATGTTGTGAACTACCTGTGGAGACGACCACATGACATGGGACCTGAGAGCAGGTTCTAGGACCTGAGAACAGCCCCCAGCCAACAGCCAGCAAGAGAGCAGAGATCTCAGTCCTACAACCACAAGGAGCTAAATTCTGCAGACAACGTGTGGGAGCTTGGAAGTGGGTCTTTCCACACATCCAGCCAACACCTTGATTTCAGCCTTGTAAGACCTTGAGCAGAGAACCTAGTCACACTGTGCCCAGACTCCTGACCTGAGAACTGTGAGATAACAGATGGGTGTTGTTTTAGGCTGCTTAGATTATGGTAATTTGTTATACAGCAATAGAAAACTAGTATACCTTTTTATTTCCTCTTTCAGACCAGGTAGTGCCTCCCATCTATTTCATCTACTCATTTAACAAATATTTATTGAGTTCCTTCTATGTGCCAGGCACTGTTCTAGGCATCTGGGATACATCAGGGAGCCAAATAGTTGATGATGCCTTCCCTCATGGCGCTTTCATTCCAGTTGGGGAGATAAGTAATAAAAATAAGTGTATATAGTGTGTTAGAAGCTGATAAGAGCTATGGAAAAAAGAAAAAGTAGAGCAGGGTGAGGGGGTTCATGAGTGCCAGGGACAAGAATAGTCCGGAGAGAGCTTATTGAAAAGGTGAGATTTAAGCGAAGACTTGAAGCAGGTGAAGGGGTTAGCCATGCAGATGTCTGTCCCCCAGACAGAGGGAAGAGCAAAGCCCTAAGGTGGAACTTGTCTGGAAAGTACAGGGAGCAGCATAGAGGCCAGTGTCGCTGGAGCAGAGTAAGCAAGCAGGAGGGTGGTGGGAGAGGAAGCCAGAGAGAGAACAGATGGGGCCAGATCAGGTACGGCCTCATAGCCGTGGTAAAGACTTCGGTGTTTCAGTGAAATGGAAGCTGTTATAGGGTTTCAAGCAGAGGAATGACATGAACCGATTTACATTTTAAAAGGATCTCCTTGGCTGTTTGTTGAGAATTGTAGAAGGGTAAATGTAGAAGCAGTGGTTGTAATGGAAGTTGAGAGAAATGATTGGATTCCAGATAGATTTTGAAGACAGAGATGCCAGGGTTTCCTAATACAGTGAATGTGGAGTGTGAGAAAACAAAGGATTCAGGGATGACTCCCAGACTTTTGGCCTGAGCAACTGGAACTGCTGTTTACAGAGATGGGGCTGATTGTGGGAGGAGCAGGCTTGGAGGAGAAAATGGGAGGAGTTAGTTTGGACACACTAAGTTTGAAATACTGTTTGGACATCCAAGTTGAGATGATGACTAGGCACTTGGACGTATGAGTCTGGAATGCTGTGTGGGCTGGAGATAGATATTTGGTGTGGATTTTGTTAGGTTTATCCTATTTGGAGGGAGCCCTGGTGGCACATGATTAAGTGCTTGGCTGCTAACCAAAAGGTTGATGGTTTGAACCCGTCAGCTGCTCCATGGGAGAAAGATGTGACAGCCTGCTTACATAAAGATTACAACCTTGGAAACTTTATGGGGGCAATTCTACTGTGTCCTATAGGGTCTCTGTGAGTTGGAATCAACTTGGTGGCAACAGGTTTTTTTTGGTATCCTGTTTGGGGTTTCCTCAGCTTCTTAAATCTGTAGGTTTATGTATTTTTGCCAACTTTGGGACGTTTTCAGCTATTACTTCTTCAAACACATTTTAAACTCCACTCTTTTCTCTCCGTCTGGCATTCTGATGTATGAATGTTAGATCTTTTTTCCACAGGCCCCTGAAACTCTGCTCCTTTTTTAAAATTTCCTTTAGTTGATTTTCTGTTTTTCATATTGGTAATTTGTAATGTTCTATCTTCAAGTTTACTGATTCTTTGCTCTGTTATATTTATTCTGCTATCAAAACTGTCTAGTGAGTTTTTTTTTTTTTTATTTTGGTTGTTATATTTTTTCAGTTCTATAACTTCTGCTTGGTTATTTCTTTAATGCTTTCTTTTTTGGGTGAGATTTTGTGTATTTTCATTTGTTTCAAGAGGATTTGTAATTACTCACTGGAACATTTTTGATTGTTGTTTTAAAGTCTTTGTCAGATAACTCTGTCATCTCATTCATCATCTTGTTTTGTTGTCTGTTGATTGTCTTTTCTTACTCTAGTCCTGATTTTCATGGTTGTTGAAAAGTCAGATCAAGAGAAAATATACTAATTAATTAACCACTTACTTAATTAAAGATGAGAGAGATAACATGCTTTTGTACAGATGGTAATAAGAACAGGAAGGAGAGGACTGCTGCTGTTATTACATGAGTTTGCTAGGTGCTCACAATACTAATGCTAATACTAATATTAATACTCATTCTGATCTTTCTGCTGGCTAGAGCTGCATACAGACTATAGTTCATATAATACTGCTTAAAAGAAATAAAAAAGGGAAATGCACCTCACAAAGTGGAAATAGAATGATACTGAGATTTCTTAGAATGAATGTGTTATCTAATCTTTGGTTGGGATAGTTTTGAGATAGAAGGTCCTTTGTCTCTCAATATCTTTAACCCATATTTTTGTGCTCAGTTAGGGCTCTCCTGAGACTATTTTCACCATCAGTTTGCATCTGAAATAATTCAGGGAGATTTGTCATGATTCAGAGGACTCTATAACCCCAGTTTCTACTACAAATTAGTCTTATCCCTCTATTAGCTAACCTCTAGCATTAATTCAGTAGATTTGTCTGTAATGACTAGGATTTACTAATTATGTTACTTATTTAAATAAGGATTTCTATAGTTAATAGGGAATTTTAACCCACCAAAATGATCTGTACTGAATGTACCATTGCCTGTTGGACTTACTCTTTTTCTTTTAAAGCTATTTTAATTTTAATTATTTAACTTTTATTTGTTTTGTTGTTGTTGAGAATATACACAGCAAAACATACACAGTTTCTACATGTATAATTCAGTAACACGGATTACATTCTTTGAGTTGCAGCCGTTCTCACCCTCTTTTTCTGAATTGTTCCTCTTCCGTTAACATAAACTCACTAATGAAGCTATTTTGATATACTGAAAAACTCCTAGTTTAAGAGGTTAATTAAGAAAACATCAACATAAGAACAATATAGTAATTTGCTGGTTGCTGACAGGCATTAACCATGACATACATATCCACGAAGGTGATGTGTACTCCCATCTCCTTACTGATACAGGAAGCTGCTCTGTGAGATGGTTGAGTGTGGATTCTAGAGTCATCCTGCCTCTGTGCCTGGCTTCACTGCTTACTTACTCTGTGACCATGGCAGCATACTCAGTGGCTCTCTGCTTCAGCCCCCTCATTTATAAAATGAGATAATAATAGTGCTTATCTCATAGGGTTATTGTGAGTTTTTAACGAGTTAATTGCTTAGATTTTAAACCCCTCTCCAGCAGTGGTGATAATTTTTGTTTAATAAAATAAAGTGAACTTCAATAAACACTCAGTATTAAGAACAGATTCATAACTTGTATGCCCCTAGAGAATGCTGTGTACAATACTGTAGAAAAGTCTCTAGAAAAGTCTAGGAACAGGAAAATCAATATAAATTGTGTGAAACTGAAGATGTTTCTTTCTTCTTTGATGTTGGCAGAGACTATGCTTTAGCAATCGTGTTTTGTAAGATTCATATTTTATACCCCTTTGGTCAGATCTGTGTTTTCTTCCTTATGGTGGAATTAACCAGTGAAAGTGTCACTTAGCACTTAGATTTCATAATTTAATGGTAACATAAGGAGCTTAGATTTATGGAAATGTGGGTTTTGATGTATGGTTGGGAAATAAAATACAGATCTAGATTATAAACTTGTTACTACCAAATAACTTGTTTTCCATGTACTGAGAAATGAAATTTGATTTTGATATGCTGTAATTCAGTTTGACCACTTACATTGTGATGAGATGGTTACTTTTCTTTGTCTCCTTTCAGACTAGTGGGTTGGTTATTTTTCTTGGCTAACAAATAAAAACATTTCCTTTAGGTCTCCATACTTCAGTTTTCCATTTACAAGGTGGCAAATGTAGGAAGGTTTTGTGATTCACTAGAGACTGTGTTATTTTCTGGTGTTGTTCGAGTTAATTTGATTATATATTATTTATCAGTTTCAGGCTATAGGAGAAGAACACAATGTCTTACAGGAAACTTTAATATCATCTGGCCAAGGATGATGAGTTCATTCTTACATTTAAAGCAAAATGTGGATGTCACATTTTAAAAGAAAAGTCTGTGGACTATGGGGACATTTGTTTCTTTCTGGATATGTAGTGAGTCATGGCCTCTGGTGATCTTCCACCGTGAGATAGAAGGTATAGCAATGAGCTCTAGATGCACACCCTGGACTTTCCCTCAGAATACAAAAAAATCT